GTATAGGCGGAGAAACAGTCGACATTTATGGCTTTGGTGTCAAACTATAAAATAATTAGAAAAAAAAAATAGAACTTACAGGAATATATGATATGATCATCCGTCTTTATATAACTCTAGTTTATTTTAACTTTCTTAAATAACCAAAGTGTATATGAGAAAAAGAATGACTTGTTCCTACTTTCTAATGATATATATAAATTGTAAAACCAAGTAACTAAAGGAACAACATTTCTCTGTACCTGTTAACATAAAAAAAAAAAAAATCAACCATACAAACATATTTATAAACCATGAGCTAGTTGACAAAATAAAAAAAATATACCATGAACCTAAGTCAACCCATAGTTTAAGAAGTGACCAAAGGTCCAAAAGCTAAAGTCAAATTCTATTTTAATAGCTATCATGTCAAATTTTACAACCTTTATGATAAAGACAATTTTATAAATGCAATACTTTACTTTTTTGTATATATGTATCCTAAATGAATTAGACTACCTATTATAATTTTTAATATAATTGATTTTTCTTTTTAAAATTTCAATCGTTTTCTTATGTTTTCCTTACAACCATACTTTAGTAATTTTTTGGTTTTTTTGTAGAACTTTATTTTTTCAGTTTTACCTTTTCAACAAACTTCTTTTACCAGATATTCTCATATAAAATTATAAAGTATAAACAATGCTTGTTTATTCTAAATCTTAAAATATTATAAATGATACATATTTTCTAATTACTTTTAAAAATTGGATAATTTTCTTAAACATTGATTTCATAAAGATATAAATAAGAAACTTGTTGAAGTTTTATGCTATAAATATATAGAATTGATCGTAGTTACTTTTAAAGTTGTAAAAGATAGTAATAATTTGTCATAAGTTTATAAATTAATAATAAATAAAATCTAAATATTTGATATTGATTGCCATGAATATGATTGATTGCAATAATATACTAGTGGGAACAAAAAAATGGATATGCTATTCTAGTTACTTTTAAATGCTTCTCGGACAAATAGAGATAAAATCTCAAAATCTTATTTAATATCCTTTTATATCATATATCCGAACTCTTGTCAAAGACTTTAATTGTTATTTTTAATTTTATATATAAGAAGATTGTCATTGTCTACTCTAGACACAGCTATTGCATGGGAACAATTATATTTTTCAATAATCCGACTGTGGAAAACCAAATACGCAGAATCAGTACTGAAATATTCCATTGTAAAAATTATAAACTATGAATTGGTCTTAATTCATGATCTACGTGTGGGAAATGACATGTTGCGGCCGATTTTTTTAAGTGTTCATATTTCATCTTTTACAAAATATATTGCAAGTGAATGTATTTGATTGATGATCATGACCTCGTTAAGAAATTTATGTTCTAACTAGAAGTCGAATCAGAAGCAAGTTTGTGAGGACCAAATAAATATGGTTTGATTACTAGATCTGTTCTGTTATGACATTTTATTTGGTACGAAAAGTGTGATCCATGTATCAAACAATCATTTTTGGTATGCTTAAGAACGTTAAGAAAATGAAAACCAATGCCAAAATATATATAATCAGTGTGTCTATATCAATCTCTGTCATGATAGCCAATGGTATTATTCCCTCAAAATTTCAATCATGTTGTTCGCTCTATGCTTTGATGGATCATTCATCAAAGTAAGGCAACATTTGTAAGCTGTGGGAGAAATTTAATCAAGTAGATGCTAAAGTCGGACATGAAAGACTGTGCTTGGTTAGATTGTTTGGGACGTCTTGAAATGAGTCTCAGAGACTCAGACAGCCAAATCGGTCCTGAGAATCTAGGCTTCATTGTAGTAATAATGATACACAACACAATTACACAATCATATATTTTCCCTAGCGAGAGAGAGAAACTCGAGGATACACAATATTGTACCATCTTTGGCCGCCGAAATATTCTAACAAATTGACTGGCTCAGTGGCTCTCGTGTTGGAGTTTGATCATTCGCTCAATTCTACACAAAAGAAAAGTGATGTCTGTAAGAAAAAAGATAAAGATCGATTGAAGAAATGGTGAATTGAAGAATGATGTTCACGAACCACCAAAGAAGAAGAAGATAAGATTAATATTCAATTGTTCATGAAGAAAAAGACAAAGTTAACACGTGACTTTAGAAGACAAACAAATCGATGAATTGGAAAATTACTTCTTGTAATTTGGGAATTATGGTTTTTCCTTTATAGTTTAGAGAATAATGTAATTTCCTTTATGCAGATTTGTTAAGGCTTTAAGCTATATATAGGTGTGTTTAGAAGAGAGAATCATTAACCAAAACATTCAATCAATAAACGTTTTCTTAGAATTCTAGTTTCATACTTTTCTTTTGATTCTCAAAGCTTTTACGTTTTTTTTTTGTTTCAATCACAATTCTAACATTTCGCATTACAACGAATTTTGAAAACAGATTTTTGTTCATAGTCGAAAAAACATTACATTTTTTGGGCTATAGTAAAAATGCTTTCAATGTATAAAAAAGAATTACCCCTTATCTATCACACATTTCAATAGTATGATCTCATATATGACTATATCTAGTCTCTAGCTGCACATTATATTTGAAAAAAAAAATGGATTCCTTTCTTGAAACTAAGTTACCTTTTGATCGGGAGAAAGAAAAAACGAAATTTGTAGAGTTATTAGCACATATTCAACTATTACCTTTATTTTTTTTTTTTTGAGAAACTAGTCAACTATTACTTCGTCAAAAGAAAAAAAAAAGNTAAACTATTACTAAACTTCGGTTTCCTTAGTTATATCGCTCCATTCGTTTAAGTATTTTTGTTTTAAATATACGTCATTATCAATGACACAACACCATTAAATCAATCGTGTTCGTACATTGAATTATATGCCTAATTTATAATCATAACAATTGATTGTTATGCATGATAAATAGGCCTCTAAGAAGCATCAACATCTTTTAAAAAAAAAATCTGTGGCTCAAAGTTATATTGAAAAGATGGAATATATAAAAATTGGAATGTGATGTAAATTAAAAATAAAAAAATCGAATGTGACTCTCCATTTCTCTCATATTGAACATCGATCGTACGAGAAATTATAATCGAACTCGTCCGAAGGTGGAGAATATTAAAAAGGAAAAAAAAAAAGAATATTACATTTTGGATTATATATAAGAAAAAACTTCCAACTAAAATCACAAGTTCCGTGCATCATCTCGGTGAGTTAAGGCCAATGTCCATCCCGTTGAAAGCAATTGGTGCATACATCCATAGATCATCAGAGCTCAATAACTGCGTAATTATAATTTTAAATTAGATCATTTTCATATAACACATGATTCTGCGTACACGTAAAAGGTTGATATATAAACGGTTCCTTACCTTAATTTGTAGCTGCAAAAATTTGACGTAATGAACAGCTTCCTCAAGCATCGTACTAATATCAACCTGTTACGTAATTAAGACATTAGATATAGGTTTAACATTTCTTGTAAAATAGAATTGCATGTATATCATTTGCATGCGTTAAACTTTTGCATGACTTTTTACCTTTGTTCCATTAGGGACGAGATTTTGCAAAATCCTTAGTCTCTCGTTGATCCTTTCTCTTCTTTTCTGCACGACCAATAAGATATCCGAATTCAGTTTTTTTCTACGTATATATACAATATTTCATATTATTGAAACTTTGACGTTAAAAATATTAATTTACCCTTGCGTAAAGGCTTTGAGGGTCGGTGGCAGCACCACGACTAGCTCTTGTCTTGCCATTGAGGTTAAGAGCCTTTGAGGCATCTTCTTCGTCTTCTCCTCCAACATCTTCAGAAGCGCAGATTGATTCTCCCTCGGAACAAAAAGTGGTGCTCGAGTTCTGTCTGCTCATCATAGCCCCATTCTTTCTCTTCTTCATCTTTTGATCGCCTTCTTCCTCTTCTCCTCCATTGTTGTTATCACCACTCATCTCTATATTCTTCTGTCCTCTCTTACCCACTTTTGCTCTCTTGTTTTTCTAAAATCCATTACAAAACCGTTTATACAATATTAGCCAACCATATAACATTTTTGGTACAATCCGCTGCAACTAGTTAGAAATTAAACCTAGAACGGTGCAAAACTTACATCAGTTGACGTTGCTCGAGATCTTTTCTTGGAACCGGTGAGAGGTTTCTGATGATTTGTAGTAGTCACAGAGATTTCGGATTGCATCATGCTCTCCTCGTCATCGTGGTTCTCCACAACGGTTTCCAATGCCAGAAGAGTCTTTCCAGAGGAGTATTTCTCAACGTCACACTCACTTGTCTCTTCACCAACAAGGTAAGAGTTTGTGTTGATGGTTACATCTTCCATTCCAAAGTCTGTTGACCCATTTTGGTTCTCTTCAGCCGCAGGTGGAACCACGGTGTAGTATCCGCTGTTCCCGACGCTGTAGCTACTGCTCTCCTGAGAGAAGCAGAAGCCACTAGCCTCAGGCATGAGACTAAGGTGGTTTTGATGAGAACTAAGGTTCCAATACAAACCCTGGTGGTCCCCAGCGGCTGTTCCAGAGGATGAGCCGGTGCCGGGATGATCGTAGGAAGCGAGGAGCTGGTTCATGAAATCGGCTTCCTCAGTTGCATAGGTGTACATTCCTGCTAGGTTGTTGCTCCATTCTCCCATGGCTTCCATTTTATTTGTTATTAACTAAACGTCTTAATCAAGAGATTTATCTCAATTAAGAAGATTGGCTAGTTTTGTTTGTTGCAAGTCTTGTGAGAAGTGAGGGAATGAGGGAGAGAAGTTGGGACGTATATATAGAGAACATGAGAGTTAGTGGATAAATGTCAACACTTGAAACCAATTACAAACATCTTTCTAAATAATTTATAAATAACCAAGTCTGATACCCTTAGATATGGACAGCTAATTATGATGGGCTATACAACTTGGTCTTCGAACATAAGTTTAACATATTTTTGTCGTTTGTCGTTTATATGACTCAATGCATTTCCGGTTGTATAATTATACATATTCGTTAGATACATCAATGTTAAGTAAGAAAAAGGATTATGGTTAGGATGATGTACTTTAATCATGACCAATATGTTAAATGATGAAAAATTTGGTGGTCTCGCAGCATAGATGGTGTGGTTTTCATTAAGATTTTGGGATATTTTATGATTCTCGTGAATTTGATAAACTAGTAAAACATAAAAGACTAGAACGAAATACATTGAGCGAATTGTCTTTTTAGGGTTCCTTATTACTAATAGTGTGAATTTCAGTAAATATTCAACCCTTAAACAATTTTTTATACTCATATTGATGGGTCGATTAAGGAAGGAATAAACTCCATCTTGATCCATGGAGTTTAATGTTGAGAATTGATTAAATACAAATAGTAAGTGTTGATCGACCTTCAAAAAACTACATATGATATCGTTAATTTTTTCCTTTAATAGATATAGTTCAACCTGCCATGATATAAGCAAAGACTTCTTTATCTTAATAGCAAAATGATTTTTTCTAAAATATTCTACATATCACCAGAATATTCCTATATATTGATATAAACTATAATCGTATAATATTTTAAAATCTGAGAATAACGATATAACTTATTGATCAATTGTTTACTATACAGAACTAACAAATAATTGAAAGAAATGGGTCTAAAAGAGGAGAGAAATATACGCTTTATATTTTCAACTGATATACGCTTTTTT